TTAAAATTGAGAGAAAACATAATTTTTTGGTAAGAGACCTTTTGTCTTAACCTCATGTCTAGCAGAAGAACATAAATGCCCATATCCAGTTGGTTGTTTGTTGAAGTCAGTCAGTTTGTTTTTACATGGTGTCGTGTTTCCATTAAATGTCCAAAGGATGTTGTCTCTCAGTGTTTTCTTTTCTGTGCGAAACAACAAATGGCTCTTTGAGTGGTTATGTTTGCCGACCCCTGACTTAAACATTTGCTTCATCCCAATAGTATTAAAAGATTTGCCTGTGGCTGAACAGACTGCTGTCACTGAGGAGCTATTTTCGGTGTCAAAGCTGTTATATTATTCCATTAACTTGTAAAGTAATAAAAAAATATATCAGTAATGGGCTTGTTGATGCATTTAAAACCTGAATTTTGACATAAAATAAACTAAGGTTTGGTCCTAATATACTGGCTTTTATTTGCTCAGACCTATTCTCCACTGCATTAGCCTAACCCAGATTCACTGCTTCTTATGCAGCTCTCATACTATTTGTGAGGTCCATAAATATCTCTTCTATTCCCCACCCTGGAGGAAAGCCACAGAGATTGCAAAAAAAAAATATGAATGCAGTCTCTCAGCTTATTCACCTTATTATGTCCTTTGTGTGAGTTCCTTTAAAACGTACCAGACTGCAGTAATCCTTCTTGATAGCTACAACAAAACAAAACCTATTTCCTCATAATGAAAAGCACAAGAAAACATCACCACCATCAAGGTGGATCACACCTAACGTCTGATCTGTGATGCAGAGGGACGTGGCTGAGGTAAACAACATTGGAAAAGACGGGGCTTCTGGGACGGGAGACTAAGACAAATATGATGTTAGGGGAGATTGAAAGGATTTGTTGAGTATTTTCTACTACATCAAATATCTTTAAATTATAAAAGCGATAATACAATAATCACCATCACAAAAGCTGTGAAACAGAAGATGCCGTCTTCGAGGATGACGCCGTCAAGTTTTGGCCGCTGTAATCTTCCAGAGTGTTTCAAAGACATAAATGCGCGTGAAGCTTTTGGAGATTATCTCAAACAGCATCCGTCACATGTCGGCCTGCGTTATACCAAATGTGCTCACTGTCATAGCAGAGAGAAGACTTAACAGGCTAATGCTCTTTCTATTAAAACGCCGACTACATTACTCTGTGAAGTGAATCACTGCTTTGACAGGTTCACACCAGCTCGTTCTGGATTTTTCTTGGAGCTGATTGTTGAACTGTAAAAAAATAATAATAATATTACAAAATACAGACATGTTTTTTAACTTAAAAAAAACACGCTAGTGTCAGCTATGAAACTAAACGTGTGAGTCTGTGTTTACTTCCATCACAGGTTTATAAACAACTCTTCACCAGGCGCACAACAATTAGTCATATCCTGTTGTGTGCAGACCCCCCGGGGAGGAACCCCCACATACTGTAGTAGAGTGTGTTCCCCCACACCTCCACGGGAAGTACTGCGACAGGCAGACTGTCACATATGCACATATGAATATGTACCATTTTCAGTCTTTCACTACTGTGTCCTCTAAAGTACCCTGTGTCTCTGTAAGTAGTGAGGCTCAGAGAATGTAAATTACATGAAGAAGCATCACTGCGTTGTTCAGGGGTCACTCTGAAGCTCAACCCTCCGTACCCACCCCCTCATTACAATATGCTCACAAACAGCAGCATCTGGAAACGCACAGTTGGAGGCAGGACTGTGACAAGCGCAAACAATTTTCTCCATGACTACGGCACAGAGTGTCTAATTTTAATAGAAAAGTCAGCAGTTCGGCTCTGCATAGCGGCGTCCTTGACGAAGACACTGAAGCCAAGATTGCTTCTCTTGTATCAGGCAGGGGAAAGACAAATTTGCAGTGTAGACTTTCTGTGTAATTATCGCAAGTATAAAAGTGCTGTACAAAAAAAACAAAACTTTGCCCGTACTAAAAGAACTACACTCCATTTACTTGTTATGTTCGTATCTGGAGTTATGGCTTTGGTACAGAAATGTATCATTACTGTGTCTGAACAGGGTTTCACACCTGCTTCATGTCCACAGGGCCGACACTTAGACTGGCAGAAATACATATGTCTGCAGGAGGCTTCAGCTGTCTGTGTGAACACCTGCTTTAAAAGGATCATATTTTAGATTCTTGTTGGGGGTCATTTGTTGTGAATTTTATTAACATGTATAAATCCTCACACCTTAGTCACAGGGTGTGACACACAGAACCTGTACATGTTGCACCAACACACACACACCTGGCTCCAGTTAACGACTAGTTTTGTTCCTAGTGTCTAGACAAGGGCATAAAAAAAGGAATGATTGGTCAAAGTAAATGTTAAAACACAGATTCTCCTCATTGACTTTCAGTCAGGTTTTTCAATCATAGCAATAGAAATAAAACCACAGACAACGTTCTCAAATGAAAGTTCAGATTATGTCTGCAATACTTGTTACTGTCCATCACAAAACAACCGTTGACGGATGGAATGGTACTGATCACATCTTTTGATTCTGTGGTCAGTTTTACAAAAGCAGATTTTTGTTTCACTTGTATATAAGGAGTTCCTCAAGGCTTCGTTACAAAGAGCCAGAGTCCTAAACTGATCCAGAAACATGAATATCTCATCCGTTTATTACTGCAGCGACTTCTAACAGACAAAATGATTAATTAAAAAAAATCTTATTGCTACTCACTACTAGGCCTGGGTGCAAACCAGCACATCTGGTGCCGTTGCTGCTAATGTCAAGTCATAGCTAACTCATAAGTGTGTCGAGAGTATAGCTGAAATGACTGCAGTATGAGGAAGACAGCAAGAGATGAACCACAGATGGAAGTGCTCTCATTATTTTAGATTTGTCTCAGCTGAAGGTCCAATGAACATGAGCGTACGTTCTAAACTGTGTCCAGGAAACCCAGTGCGTTCAACCGTGAAACCTTCAGTGTCAGATATATTGCAGCATCTGCTCTGACAGCACAGCACTGTGAAGCCTTGTGGGGGGGCTGGGGAGGGAACCAGTGCTGTCAGTGACAGTGAAGCCTGAACTACAAATACACGGAGCCTGGCTAAACAACAAAAACTTCAGGGTTTTGTTTGGAGACTTTAAATTGATTTAGTTCCTAAAGAAACTTTGTGCCCTTCCCATTTCTGGGTCGTACTTTTAGCGGTCATGCAGCTTAATCTTTTTGAGCCATTTGAACCTTCGACTTTTTTCACGCCTGCAGCAAAGCAAGTGCAACAGGTACGTTCTGACTGGGAGTTCTTAAAATAGCTCAGGTCAGTAGCATAGCATTACAAAAAAAAGCATTTAACCTCTACTCTGTGCCTTAATGCATAATATTGATGTTCATACACTTTTACCATGTGGACAATAAATCAAATGAAAATGTTGAGTACAGACTGGAGAGAAGTGAAGCGTAACACAAAGTGACATGAAAGGGATTCGTGGCAAGATTTGCCAGATTTCTGGAGCAAGCAGAAAATCATTTTAACTGTCAGTAGCTTTCACTTAAAGCTGGGATGAAGTGATAATGAGTGCGAAGAGCGAGATTTGAACTTTTTTTTTTTTTTTCTGCAGAAGCAGAGCGATTTCTTAATTGATTTAGAGAGAGCCAGCTTGACTGCGCTATTTGGTTAGCGAATTATAAGGAATCAAAATGTCTGGAAACATCAGTCTCACCTTAGTCTTAGAACCATGTTGAGAGCACCTTGAATGTACGGTGTATCCTCGTACGGTTCCACCTGCAAAAAAAACACAAGTGACGTCAGAAAGGAAGATTTGAACAAAGTCAAACATGAAGTAGTGAATCATTTTTTAGCAGAGGGAGAAATGTTTAAAAGAAACCCAACTCCATTAAGAGGTGTTCACTGCATAGTTTTTACATCGATGGTACAATACAGGATGATTTTTCTAAAGCAAAGAATGGCGAGAATGCTTGGTGAGTAGCTGTCAGATTTGATTACTGACAGCAGAACAAACCAAATCCTCTTACATCTTCGCTGCATTTTCAAAATGTCAGAAGCCCCAGAAAATTGGTTACGATGGCAGGGAGTCTATAGATGAGATATACCACGGCAAAGAGCCGTGCTGTCAGACGGACGGCAATTTACTATGAATTATTACTGATGAGAGCATTTTCTCCAGGAGACATTCGCACGCGCAGCACACCTACAATGTCAAACCTACGTTCTTTTGTCAGGTGAGGTATGGTAACCTTCACATTGCACTTAACAAGCGATAAAAATAACTATCAATAGGACTCACTTTTTGTTACTATAGGAGACAAGACAAGTCTTCAAAGCCAAAGTATGCCAACGTACCAAAGAGGAGTATAATTCACATGCAAAGGAACATTCACATCACACATAAAACAAGTCATTTAGCACCGAGGTCATTGAACTGTGACAAATTAGATGGCTTCAGAATTCTCACCTGGGGATGCTGAATAGATAATCCTTCAATTGAAACATCATTCTCCTCGTCCTCATTCTAGGAGGAATTAGGATTAGACAATCAGATTACACAAAGATCACCTGACATCAACAAGGTAAGGGAATTCATTTCATTAAATGCCAATGGTGCCCAACAATAACTGTATTTATTAGTAGTAATCACGATGTCATCATGTGTTTACTGATCAATTGTCCTCAACAGAATCTTAAACCTAACGAGTTTAAGGTTTCCATCAGCTCAATGCTAAAAGTAAAAAGTACCAAGTTTGAGGCCTGAACAGCACAACTGTGACCCAGTTGTGTATCCCAGTCCACAAATTGAGCAACAACCCCAAAGGCAGGAAGTACAACACCCTCAAGACAGGTCTATCTAAAAAACAAATAACACCTACAAGAACATATTACCGGTAAATAAGGGTGTGCGGGACTGAAAGAATTGACTTACATCTTTTTCTTCTTCTTTCACTCTTCGTGACTGCGAAAAAAGTACACATTTTATATTTAAATTCATGTCTAAACTTTTATAATTATCAGTTTCCATTTTTAGGAGTCCTCAGGAAAAACAAGGCTGTTCTCTTATATTAAATATTCCTTTTTACTTTACTATGAATAGTAAATAAACAGATTTATCACTCTCTCCTCAGCACCTCAAAGTAACAAGCCTAGTGTAGATATAATTGAAAGCCTAAAGAAAGAAAAAACATCTTCATAAAAACATTTCAAGCAGGAAATGATTTATTACTTTTATCAGCCGAGGATAAGGCAGCTCCAGAAGAGCAACGATAAATAAACAATGGGAAAAAACCAAACGGTGATTATTCATTATGTAATTTAGTTCTCTCTAGAAGAACTGTGATATGTCAGTACTGCAGGCTTGGATGTGACAGTACTACATAGGATACAATAAAGTATTTAATAAACACTATTGAAAAAAACATCAATTTTTGAAGACACAGTTGACACAAAGGCCGTGCTGGAAACTACAAATCAGCCCAGTAGTTCAGCACCACAGACAGCGCCATAGATTAATCAATACAAAGCACAGGTTGCTGATATTTCAGAGTCGTGGTCGGCACATTTTTTTAACCTGCACAAACATCCTTCAAGGGAAGGATCAATAGGTGAGAGTGACTTCACATTTTTCCCTCAGGGAACAATGTTATGATGCAGCATTTCCTAGCATTTAGGAGAGGTGTGCATTTTGAACCTGACGCCTCCATACCCATTAAACAGAGTATATTATTCACACTCACCTCTGGTACAATATAATTTATTTTATAATACATTCGACTAAGTCCCGGTCAAAAAGTTCTCTAATGTCTTCCTCATCCTGCGTCAATCTGTGCAGCTTTCAGCTCCTTACAGACACCCTTTTAGTGACACATTAAAAGTTATCTGCTAAGCAAAGTGCTGAGACAAGAGAGTATTGAATTTCTCCACACACTCTCATTTGATTTAAAGGTCAGACGTGACAAAACCGGCATAAAAATAATCAATGAGTTTACAGATTATTGAGTTACGTTTCATAACCTGATGACAGTTATTATAGATAGCAAATGGAATGGAGTCCAGTTCCATGGAATCTAACGATTGTGTGTTGACGCCACGTACATGCTCACCAATATGGTTTAGACTAAAGTACAATTGTGTTGGAAAGAATCCGGTGAAACGGCAACAATACGATATATTTCGATATACTGTGATAAAAACGCCTGTAGCATGTAACTGCCTAACATCAGGTTACTAAAATTAGAAGAGAGGAATCTACATTTCTCATTGTTAGAGAAGAATAAAATGAATCAACGCCATGAATAGTTGAATGTTAATTGTCAATCGACAATAAGAATAAAACGCGATACAGTGCTGTGGAATAATGGTACGGTATTATGAAACGAAATATAAGGATATTTCAATTTATGGATATTTAATTGCACCACTAGTGTTTCACAACAAAGATACTACGCCCGACGACAACAAAGCACGGAAATACGGCCAACAAATTGACAGGCCCTGTCCTGTGTTCATGTTAGTGCAGTTCCTTTGTCAAACTGTTTTCTCTGTAGTGTGTGAATAACGTCTGACTGGCCCAGAGGCTGCTGCAGGTACCTTTTCACACACCTTTGTTAGTTGATAATTAACTAGTCTTTTATGTTAATATGTTCATTTCTGCAGAGGAATTGCTTTAGGGTTTGTTTTTTTTCAAGCCGGTTTTATTTTTCGGCTAACCAATCCATCGCACTTTATTTTTATTCCTAACCCAATGAGAATCGATAAGAAAATTTATTGAGGAACCAAATCAATAACTGGTATCAATGAATGAATCACAATCGATCAATTCAGTCGATAACAGTTCCAGTTCCTTGTCACAGATGGAGTCAAAGATCCATAACAGGACTTCATGCTGGTTGGTGTCTGGGTGTGACGTCACCTACCCTGCCCTGATTCACCGCTGCCTTTCCCTCCTCACTGCCCTCGTCCAGCTCATCGTCGCTCCACTCCCAGTCTCCGTCCTCTGTTTTGTGCAGATGGCCACTGGAGCCTGGAACTCTCCGAACCTGAACCACGGCAGCACAAAATACACAAAAATATGTTTATTCAGTTTATTCATTTCATTATAAACTTACATAAATGACCTCATTGGTCAGGCAGCCCTAAATGAACCTGTTTACCTAATGATGACTAATTTTTAACTAACTAAACTTAGAGAGTCAGAAGACTTTGTGTCCCTAGGTCACAGCCTTAGAGAAAAGAAACTGGGCACAGCACGACGACTGCAGCAACGTCTGCGCCGTGGCCGAAAAACTGAGGTGTAGAGAAAGTGATACACTTCAAACTTGGTTAAATATCAGCAGGAGCACAAATGCAAATGTAGCACGTAGCATAACGAAGCAGACGAGTGAGACAGTCATCGATAAAGCCTGTAATTGGCTGCACTTCTGGAGGCAGGAAGAGCTTGTAAGACAAGCAGCACATGACAAGACCAGCGGTGGGAGGTAAGGTATGAGAGCACTGCAATATTAGAGAGGGGGAGGCGGCCACCCCCTGCCTCACTGAAAGTCCTCTGCTCTATACAAGGTCAAAGTCAAAGCAGCACTACCTTTACGGTGTTGGTCTTGGGTTTCATTTCCTAACCTGACACAAAAGCAGGGATCCCACATTTATATTCAAGGTCCTTTAACAGGACAGACACAAACAAATGCACACCTCAGCCGAACAGTCACATACGGACACAGGTCTACAAGACGGATGTTACGTGAAAAGAACATTTTGCTGTAACAGACAAAATATAAAATATTGTGCTTTCGAATAAAATTCAAGTCATTCTAGCTTTTTTTTTTGCATTTTCACCCTACTTTTTATCATACAGTTAAACAAAGACCAGACTGTAGGCTCAGTTGTGAATCACTAAGCCTCCAATTAGAAGCTTGTTTGTGGATGTTAGGCTGCCATCTGCTGGATTCTCAATTCAACTAGGTAATCCTATCCCTACTGTTCATACCCAGTGACTAATGAAATAATTCTATTGAATTTCTAAAATAACAGAAGCATTACTTATGCGCTATGTAATAAAAAAAACTTATAAATTCTCATCTCCTGTCTTTCCTAATTAAATAAATTTGCTGACTCACTAAATAACCTCATTGGTGACAGCTGACCGGAGGATCTGCCATCTCCTTTTCATCCAACATAGAAATTTATAAATGAGATTTACGGTAAGTCCCTTTATCTGCAGACTTAAAGAGTACATTTTTCTACCAGCCGCTTGGCTTTCAACTCACCCTTCTGACCCCCCTGGTCTATGTTACCTTGAAGCAGAATTGCTTTTGTTTACTATGAATACAAAAAAAAAACAACACAGCAAAACAAAGTATCTATAGAAACACAGTGAGAACACCAGGGACAAAGGGGCAGAGGGTAACGCTTTCAGATGGTTATGAGAGAAACAGAGAAACGTTGGGACACAAAGTACCATATGTATTAAAATAAATTTTAAACAGAAGTCAGAAGACTCTTTTGCAGCTTTTTGCAGTATGACTTGTCGGGGGGAAAGCTGTGTGTAAGCCTGGCTGGCTGCATAATGCACAGGACTGCACAGGTCAAATGAGAAAAAGTACCAAGGACACAGTCTCTCTGCGGCTCATGTTTTTCATCCACTGTGGTATCAAGTGAACCAGGCGTTCAGGCAGCATTTAGAGCGCCCACTAGTAATTTCACCTTTTTTTTTTTTCTCAAGACGCCCACAGACCTAGAAACACACACACAAGGTATTTTTTCGTTTTAACCCTGTTTAACCCTGTGAAACCATTGGTATGTTTTTAAACATGGGCAAAAACTGTTTTTATTTTTTGAATGAACACTGATGCTAAAAGAAGCCGATTTTTTGAATGAACACTGATGCTAAAATGTGTATGTGGATGTATCAAATTATATTAACAAAAAAAAAAATTTTTATACGTTTATAATGTGTAATAACATCTCATTTTAAAAACATTTGAATTTTCTGTTTTTTTTCTTTACAGGGTTAATGTATGTTTGGATAAATGTGTTTTTTAATGCACACAGTAAATCCTCTTATATTTAATCCGATGTAACACGCGTTGGAGATGACTGCAAATCCATGGTGTGAATGGAAGCTGTGAAGCACACTATTGACAAAACCTGAGAAGTCCATTAACGTGTTTAAAAACACACAGTTGCGGCTGCGTCACACCTCAACTCCAACAAACCCAAACACGATCCTACCAGTGGCTCCACACTTTACGTCGCTGTCTGTTGACACTGTGCCCGGTTTGTGCGTAATGTTAACATCACACACCGTGTTTTCCACTACGCCCTCCATTTACAGTGAATTTCCACCCCCACCGTGGGGGTAAATGAACTTTTCAGTAATGGTCCTGTGCTCCGTCCTCTGTGTTGGCTATACAGGTGGGACCTTACTGTGCTGATAATGTCAGCTGAGCCTGAAATCTATACTCCCTGCTGCCAAACTGTAGGCAACTGTGCAAAACACTGTGGGAAAAAAAGTGTTTTTCTCTTTTTTCCTTGTTTTCCAATGTATTTGACCTTGTGTTTACTTTTACTACACGTACACAAGATCTGACTGTATTAGTTTATTTCACTAAGATATGGAAAATCATTTAGATTTGAAATAAATAAAAGTCACAGAAGCAACATTTTGGTGAATCCAAGCCAAAAAAAAGACCAAAAGGTGTCATGGGTCAGAACCTCACAGAAAGATGACATTTTAAGCAAAAGGAAATTTGAAAATTGTGACAATATTCAAACAAAAACTCTTCATGTTTCTCTATGTCACCCTAAAAACAATTGGATCTTGTTTGTCACGTTTGTCATGATATATTATAAACTACATTATATATATTTAACCATTTCTGAATGTGTTTTTTCAAATTAGGATATTTAAAAAAAAATAAAGATCAATAACATTACATATATCAGGTTTGTTGTGCAACTCAAAGTCCTTCATTACCTTAGTAAATACCAGTTAATTAGTAAATGTCCCTGAAACATATTGCACGGTGGTAAATAAACCCGTCAACACATTTTCCCACTCTACTGGGATTACTACCTGGTCATAATAAACAATGATCCTTTTCATTATGGGATAACAAAGTAGTACTGAGAAGTAAAGTTAATCATTTTAAGGATATTTGAGCAAAATTACCTTCTTGGCTCTTTGAGAAATCTTTGGTGCACGACACAAGAGCTTTTCCACAAGAAATTCTTTGTTCTGCAAAAAAGAAAGTAAATTTTACCCCCAAAAATTTAGATTTTTATAAACACTGTCTATTACAATAGGTTTGATAAGGCAGCAAATTCAGAGTAACACTCAGTTACATGTGTTTAAATCAGGGGTCTCGAAAACATATGGGCCATATCAAAAACGCTGATTAAAAAATAAAATAAAAGTGAGTTTTGTAATCCTATAAATATTGTATAATAAACAGCGTAAAATTAATGAATAAAAATAAAATTTAATTTTCAAGAGCTAAATTGAATATAATTGACTAATAACAGGCCAAATTTGGGGGGTTTATGGTCCACATCCAGCCCACGGGCCAGAAGTTTGGAACCCTTGATTCAAAAAAAAGGTTTCTTTTTGTTGCTTATGTCTGTGGAAGGGTTTCACATTAATTTGTGTCCTCATTGTGTCCTCATTGGAGACTGGATCACCTTAAATGCATCCAGCCAAAGGAAACCCATGAAAAAAAAAAAGTACAGCCTTATTACTAAGGCACAAAACGGTGGTTGAGTCAAATATTTGAGATGAACAAATACCTTAGCCTTCTGGAAGAATTTACACTTCAAAAGCTCTGCAGCTGTGGGCCTGGAGATAAAGATGAGCACGGTGGTGAATGTTAATCGTCTGCCCTTTTTTTACTGCGTCAGTTCTGCTCAACTGAAATTGTCGGGCTGAGGAAGTGGAGCTCACCTTTTGGCAGGATCCTTCTGAAGGCACGTGGTTATTAGCTTTCTGAATGATTTGCCGTATTTCTTGAGCACCTCCTTGTCCTCCACACCCGTCTCTAGTGTGGGGGGGTCATTCTGTAGGGTCAGCATTAAAACCTGCAGAGACACAAAAGGCGGGCAGGAGTGCCCACACAACATGTGAGTGGATGATGGGGGGAAAAAAAATCAAAGCTGGAATCTGTGGATAGAAATGTGGAAAACACATTTTAGATGAAATGCTGTGAGTGAAAAGTTCTTTAGTGAATGCAGCTGTCGGCCCACCAAAGGCCAACTGCCACTTTGATTTTTACTGTCACTTTAGCGAGTGGCAGGAACTTTTATGAAACATATATTATCTTTTCACCGCATTTGAAGACGGCACTCTAAATGTACACTGCTTTTTAATTGTGTATTGCCTGATAAGATAAAAACATCAACACATTAAGCTATTGCTTTAAATTACTTTATATAAACTATTTTTTTAAATGGCTCTTGTCGTTGAACTAAAGAAATATCAATATCAAGTAGTGCTTTTTCCTCACTGTAGCATTTTTTAAATTATTATTCATTTTGAGCCCTCCTGCAATGACTCTGCAGCCCCTGGATGGGACCCGCAACCCACTTTGGGTACCACTGTCTTATCTATATATGTAGTTGACAACCAATTAAACATTTGATAAACTTGCCTTCATCGGAGGGTAGCGATGATAGGGGGCGGAGCCTGCGGCCAATTCTATCGCTGTAATTCCAAAACTCCATATATCCGCTTTGAAGTCGTAGCCTCGCACCTTTCACCAACGAAACGCACAGTCAACAGCAGTGACTTCCATGGTACGGTATAAAGACAGTTGAGACACTGACTCACTTGTTCCATCACCTCCGGTGCCATCCAACATGGTGTGCCAACAAAAGTCTTTCGTACTTTGTGTCTCGTCATGTCGCCTCCTGTTGCCAAGAATGAACTTACGCCAAAATCTGATCAGACAAAAACAAGAAGACTCGTAATAATATTCCTTCATTTAATTCACGTCTCATATCAACGTTCTAATAATCACTTTTTTTGACAATCTCTTATAAACCCCTCCTCCCATCACAGGGAGACACTGAGTACAGTTTAAAGGCTCCGATGACAGTAATATAGAAATGAGAGAATTAACTACAGCCCACTGTGTTCATCAATACCACCTCAAAGAAATCAATGCAGTGTCTCTGCATGTGCGTGGTTCTATATCCAAACTGCAGCCGTGTTTCGGCGGCATGTTCTACACACCTGCGATCTGGACAGATCCGTCTTCTCCCAGTAATATATTTCCAGCTTTCACATCCCTGAGTGGGCAAAACACAAACAGAGTGAAAACATCAAAGTCGTGTGGAGCGGCATCGATTCTTCCGTTCGCCCCAATGACTCCCTGAGTTTGCCATCATTATCTGGGTCTGTGCCTCAGGGCCAGCCTCTGAATGACCTTGAAATCCACAAGCTTAACAGAAAACATGCACTGAGCCGCAGGTCAATAAATACGATGCCATGAATTAGCTCTCTCTGTGGCGGAGGAGAGCGCATTTCCAGGTTCACGTCCAAACCAAAACATCAAATAGGTTCTAATACTAAAGATAGAAAAGCAAAATCAGAACCAAGAGTGTGTTTATTGTCACCTGTGAATCTGTCCATTTCTGTGTAGGTAGTCCAGTCCCTCCAGCACTTCTTTTAATATGGTAGCAATAATAGGCTCGTCTAGAGCTCGGTTTTTGTCCTCGTCTTTGCTTGTGTGCTTTATTATATCCAGCATTGAGCCTAAAAATACAGACAATAAAAACAATTACTTTTTTTTTTACTTTACAAGTCAGACGCTCAATGGTCCACTGAGTCACGGTCTGATCAATACTCATGAGCAAACACAATTTATTTTCATTTGCGTGTGATAATTGTTACGTCTCTGCTGAACAGAACATCTTGACAGCCAATGCAATACATTGATTACACGTCACTGATTTAGCTGCTTCACTAATGTGACAAGAGAAACATCGGATTTTGGTTGTTCTTGCTATGCAAGCAAAAATGCACTTTCAGCGCTACAGTAATGGAGACACTGAGCTACAGAATGACATGGAAATAATGGCACACTGAATATGACACACCCCCTATGTGTGAAAATATACACATATATTTATATGCATATATACATATATAAGTAAATATATGTATATATGCATATATATGTGTATATGCATATATATATACAGTGTGTGTTAATTATAAATTATTATTATTATTATTTGTAAAATATATATATATGAATAAACAAATATGTATATTAAAAATACTAACTATATATATATTTTATATATATATACATACTGTATATACTGTATGTATGTATATATATATACATATATACACACACACACACACACAGCAAATATAGTTACACAACTAATGTGTAATGAAATATTTAAAAAACACCTTTTTATTTCATGGGAGAAATGAACAATGAAAAGTCACTTTTAAGGGGAGAGGATAAAGGGGCATTCACAAATGGTTTCATCACAGTCACTGAGCACTCATTTATTATTAATCCAGAGCTAGGATTCAGTTCCGTGTTGCTGTGGAGGGGGAGCTTACCTCCACTCAGGAGCTTCATGACTAACCAAAGTTCATCCTTCACAACAAAGGAGGTGTAGTAGGTGACAATGTTTGGATGGTTGCACTGGCTCATGGCTTGAATTTCTTTCTATTGCACAACAGAAAGGGCAGATTAGGCAGGTTCTTATTAGGAGTGTTTGTTCCTAATAACTGGCAAAAGCAATAAGCAATATTTCCAATGATTATTAATGGTATTATGTCAAAAAACAAACAAAACACTTGAGCAGCAGGTGGGTATAAAAGGGCTCACAGCTGCCCCACTTGTTCAGCAGCTCCCAGGCTGTTTGGGCGATGCATTTGGATGCATATGATTATCATTTTAATTTATTCATTTCATATTCATTTTTTTATTCATTACACCTCATTAATAATCACGTTGCCACATGTTTAGGACCCAGACTACGCTCCCTCACAGTGGTAGTGTTTGGTAGAGCGACTAGGAGTAACAGTATGTGTCAGAAACCTAATGCCACATTCAAACCTTTAACCCAGGGGTGTCTAACTCATTTTAGTTCTGGGGCCACATACATTAGATATGTAATGTCAAGTGGGCCGGACCAGTAGAAGCATAACATAATTACCTATAAATTACCTAAAAAACAAAAAGTCCATGTTTTTCCCCTTTGTTTTCATGCAAATAAGTACAAATATATTAGAAAATATTCATATTTAATTAAATATCAATTGCAAAAACATGGAGATGAAGTGTTTGTGCCTTTCTTTACTTTCAAAATTCATCAAGGGGGCCGGATTGAATCTCCTGGTGGGGCGATTTTGGCTCACTGGCCGTATGTTTGACACCCCTGCTTTAACCATTGAGAAGAAATCCCTACAGTTTGAAAGCCTTACTTCCCTAACCATTACAATTCCACCGCTGTGACTCAGAGTCACACAGCACGCAGTTAAATCGTGCAGGCCCAGCCCAGTCAGGTTTATACCACTAAATAATATGGATGAGAGGCAAAAGAGAAATAAGGGAGGAGAGAAAATGAGAGCAAACAGTGTTTGAACACACACGGAGAAAATAGCCCATATTTATTGTACTCACCAGTAGCTCATCCATGCTGGTCTGGCATTTTTCCAGGTTGATTCTCTTTATGGCGACACGCTCCTGTCTGGGGGTACAGAGCGCCGCCTGCACCACCGCTGTGGCCCCGCTGCCTGGAGTCACAGCCAAAACACAGCAATGAAAAAGTGGGACAAACGTAATGAGGTAGCAAATGTAGTTAAACTTCACATCGGTGAGTGATTCTGCGGCGTGTTTTTTTTTTTTATTACCAGCCGGCTGCTCAAGTGTTTGTGTTTACATTATTGTTGTCAGCTATATACATATGAGCTGAGTCAAGGGACAATGAGGAGCCTCGCACAGCAATTACAGAATACTGCCTGCTCACTGTTTTTTTTTTTTTTTACAGATTAGAAAGACAGTAAATAAACACAGGAGTTCTGACTGTTGGACAGCTGACTGAGATAACAGGAGTGAGTTCTGCGTAACCCGTCAGAGTCAGCTGTAAACAGCTGGGTTACACTTTCCTAACATTACTGATAGGACTTATCAGCTCATCAGCACGCGTCAGGCGTTCAACGCAAAAGAAAACTCTTGAAGTTTTCCATTTTGCACTGACATTACATTTCTATTGTTTTGTCACTTAAAAATATTGGAATTTTTTTGGAAATTATACTACAACCTCCTGTTAGCCTAACAAGCTGCTAATGTTACATATTATCCAAAGGTAACTGAGTATTTGGGGAATACTTTAAAAGGTTTAATTGTTGTCCTTGTTTATTTAAAATTGTTTATTTACAATAATAAAATGTTACCAGTCTACAATATAAATTAAATGTAATAACACTGTTGCAACATGTTTTTTAAAATGTATTAAAATATAACATAAAATAAAGAAACCTTTAATATACAGTAGTAGACATTTGTCAAAAGGCTCAAGTCTAATATTGACATTTGAGTTTTGCTAATTGATTTTGCATATTTCTTGCTCTTTTGGACAAATGAAATAAAACAATCCAACATAGAAAGGTGTTTTAAATATTTAGGTAAACTAAATGGGTTTCCAGGGTCCATTAACTGCGACTAATTGTTGCAGCTTTAGTGCAACTTGTTGAGAACTCCCAAATGACTGATGTAAAACGCTTGTTAAAGCTCAATAAGGATGAATCCGTTCTTCAGGTGGTTACCACAGTGGAAACCAATACACAGACCTGTTTATTACACACATCTTTCTAGTGACGGCCGTACCTTCTTATTGCAGAAATACAGGAATATGTAGGCGGGGGAATTAAGTTATTATTCTATATTGACGTAACAGCATCACGCTGTTGCTGTAGAGTCAATGGCTGCACATGAGAGATAAACATCTCCCATTCAAGTCTGACCTTTTCTCCTCTGACCTTTGCCATCACTGAGGTAACTGAGTGGATATTTCCTCATGTGGACCACACTCAGGATTGTAAACCAGTTTGATTTTTTTTTTTAATGAGTAGGCCTTTTTAGACATCCAAGGCCTTTGAAAAGCAGTCCTACAGCTTGTATTAAGATGGTAGTAAATACATTGCAGAGTGAAAATGACGGGGATCATTCTGTCATCACTGATTACGCCTCAGTAAGAGAACAGCGTGAGGAGTCTGTCAAATGAGCGGCACACGTGCTACACAACATCCGACTCACTGAGGGAATGTCACATTGCCAACCATGTAATTCAAACAGAGAAAGACGGGGGGAGAGAGGAGGGAGAGGGGTGAGGAACCGGTAGTCACTGCTAACATCCGCATTACAAAGCAGTAAAGGAAGCTACTGCTCCGGAGAAACGCCGGTAGGCCGCGGTCGTCAGCCCCAGCTGATGAATAAACACAGCTCTGGCTCTCCCTCTCTCTCTCTTTCTCCCCCTCTCTCTCTGTTCTGACTCGCGGTACTAACCTATGACTTCCTGCAGCTCGTACGACTCCCTGGTTATTGGCCAGCTGGTTGTCAGCACTGGCTGCAGCTGCTGCGGCGGCAGCGGCTGGTGAACGGGAGTCGGAGATTCGCCTTGATCCGCCATGATGATGATGTTGATGACGATGATGACGGTGATAGTGATGATGGTGTCAGTGATGATGATGATGCGCTAGTTAGTAGCAGCCTCTCTGAAAGGCAGATGGACACACACAGAGAGTGAGGGCGGGCGGGAGGAAGAGAGACAGGCAGAAAGAGCGAGGGGGGGGGAGAGAGAGAGAGAGTCACCTCCTCCCAGTGTCAGCTGGTAACAGCCACAAAACCGACGAACACAACCCGGAAAAATAACAGACCACACGCGCACACGTTTACACAGACCACAGTATTCGACTTTAGTGTGTATAAATATATAAGTGTAGTTACCACAATTATATTCAGAAATCCATTCATTAGAGTATCAGACAGCCTTTCTGTTTACAAGAGTGTTACTACAGTGCTTGAATACAGCGACATGCGGATGTGTGACGATTTGACTTGTCACATGCACCCAGGGCACACTTACTGCTGTTTTTGACCGGGCCACTAGATGGCGACGTCGCACTACTGTAAAGTCTCATTATGTAGCGCACAAAAAAGACGGCAATTATAGTTGATCAGTTAATGGACACAAATATAGTTAAGAGAATAGATATCGAGGTTGTTCGTTATTTAGATAATTAGCCGATTTGTTAATTAGTTTCTTTATGTAAATGCAATCACTGCTACAATATACTATTTTGTAATGTACATTGATATGTCAGACAAAAATGGTCTAGCATCATAATAAACTAACCAAAAAATATGCACTAAAATGTATATGTTAGAGTTGTCTGCTCTAAATGTAACTGCTATTGAACTGTAATACACTACCAACCTGTCCTGGGTGACACTGCCCCGTCTCCCTGGTGTCCATCGGTATTGGCTTCAGGTCACGTCACTCTGAAGAGATTAAGAATAGAAGAATATTGTGGAATAAAACAGCTGTTTAAAATGTCACCGTATTTCTATATAAATTCCAAACACAATTGTGAAACCAAATTTAAATTCTATCCATCCATCCATGTTCTATTGCTTATTCCTTTGTGTAATTTATTGGTGCAACACTTTTTTTAATACAGGACGCACAAAACCTGTCCTGTAGTGAATCTGCTCGAGTACACATTTAAATAACCGGTCACATCAACAGTTCACTACATCAGTTTCGCCAGTAGATGGCACAATCTATCAAACAGTAAAGGCTAAGCCTAGCTCCCAAACGTCGTTGTTATATAGGTAAATGAGCTTTAATGTCTGTTTTGTTTGAATTTAACAATCGATTTATTTATATTTATTTAAAAAAATCAGTTGAACTGCCATATTGGCTGATAGTGTCTACATTATTATTTCTGCTATTATACAACCGCCACGTACGCTGTACGTCTGGTCAACATACACAGCAAACTCCTTAGTTGGTGTTTAAAGTCTATAAGGAACTGGTGGTTACAGTGTAACAGCCGCAGCTTCAGGGATCGCTTTACCTTTGTTTCGCCGGTGTTAACGTACACCGACTGTACTGCACGACATCTCAACGCACCAATCAGTTGCGGAGGAGCTGATTGAGTCGACTTCCCTACAGTGGAAGAACTGAGGGAAAACACACGGACGGCGGTGTCACACAGATATCTAATCCACATCATCACCGTCCTCCACATCATCACCACCATTCGCTGCCCAACTCGCTAGCTCCGATCGCAGTGAAAGAGCTCCAAATTCCGGACGGACTAACCGCTTCTCCCTTCACCCAGTGCAGCAGCAGCGGCAGCGGCGGAGAGATGGCCGGTATCCTGGCGTGGTTTTGGAACGAGAGGTTCTGGCTACCGCATAATGTAACATGGGCAGACTTAAAGAACACAGACGAGGCGACGTTCCCGCAAGCCGAGGACCTGTATCTGGCGTGTCCTTTAGCCTTCTGCATCTTTATGTTACGGCTGGTTTTCGAAAGGTGGGTCCCTGAAAGCAGCACGGCACATAATCCAGGTGGCTGCGTTGTCTGTCCCGTTCGGTTGTGTGTGTGTATTATGTTGCACGGCGGTGATCCTGCTGCCCTGGGTCGTCTTACTGCTGTGATCTAAACAATGGCATCCTCTCTGCCCAGATCAGAAATCAGCGGCTTTATCACCATCACCACCATCATCCATTCTGCAGGCCCTGCAGCGTTAGTGCGCTATCTGCATTTGAAGCATCTGTCAGTGCACGGTCGGCACGGTGCAGCCAAGTTCTGCCCCGTACCTGATTCAGCTGTGATGCTGTCTGCCCCCTCGGCCCAAAGGCATTGTCTCAGTTATTTAGTCAGTTGACCCTGTTGTGATTGTACACTGGTTGATGGACCCATGATAACCACGATAACCAGTGCTACTCCTCCTCAGACAAATGTGGGTCAGGAACCTCTTGAGGGGAAGTACAGTGACTAAGGCCTCCAACTTCTCCTCAGAGCCTTTCACTCATCTTCACAATTTCTGTTTATCTGTGATTCACGTCATTTAAAGAGTGGCCGAAACAAAGGAAAACAAAAATCCTAATTTTTCAATTCTTAAATAGACCCACTTTTTTTCATAAATGAACGGTTTCAACATTCTGTGACAGTAACATGCACACAAAAGGTTATGAAATCAACAGGAGGCATTCAAAAATAGGGTAGAGTAAATAACATAAAGTTGAATTATTTGCATGTATGCATTTTAAAACTGGCAAAAATTAGAATTGGACATTTCAAACGAATTAAGCCATTGAGTGGTTCATATAAAAATAATGTGCATTTTTAAGAATACATTGCAACAAAAGAAAAAATTAAGTGAATGTTAATAACTGTGACCTTTTTTCCATGACCTTATTCAGTATTTGGAAAAAT